TTAGGGGTTTAGGTTTCGGGGTTTAGGGTTTAGGGGTTTCGGGGTTTGGGGTGTAGGGGTTTAGGGTTTAGGGTTTCGAGTCAAGCCCGCCGTTAAACAATTGGGGCTGAGTGGCGGACTGAAATACAATGTCGCAGGATTCTGTGAGGTTTACCCCGAAGCAGCCCCGACGCGATTCTTGATGGTTGCATTCTCCAAGTCCTACCTACAGTCTCCATTGAAATCCTGCTGTGTTGGGGTTTAACCAGTGTATATTTAGGATCCCCCATGGCAAGCCAACACAGGAACCGCTACAATCTTTGCGCCCTTCGCAGGTCTTTGGCTATGCCCCGGTGTCGGTCATCCCGGTCTACGACCCCGCGGACCCGAGCAACCCAAGGCTCACGTGTCTGACGCCGCCTTGCGAGATTCTCGGCTTAATGTAGGGGCCTTAATAATTAGAATAGGGCTTTGGGGTCTATTGTACTGTAATTATTGAGGCCCCTATAGTATGGGGTTTAGGGATTTGCTCTTCTAAGTATACCGGCAGAGACCTGCAGTTGTGCTGAGCATGCTGCTAAGAAGGGAACGGTTTAGGGTTTAGGGTCTAGGGGTTTAGGGTCTAGGGTTTAGGGTTTAGGGGTTTAGGGTTTAGGGGAGCGTATTTTTAAAGCGCTTCCCTTGCCTGAACCTGTCGGAGTCCTTGCAGGCCAGTTGCAGTTTAGGGTTTGGGGTTTGGGGTTTTAGGGTTTATAGGGTTTAGGGTTTATAGGGTTTAAGTTTAGGGTTATAGTAGGGTTTAGGTTTAGGAAAGTTTAGGGTTTAGAGTTTAGGTTTCAGGATCTGCATAGCCCAGGTGTTAACGAGGGATCCTAATACCTGGCCCTGCGATGCATGCAAGCTGGATGTAGGTATAGCATTTTTGAGAGTCTACATGCATAAAAGATCATTAAGGTATATGTATGTATTCACATAATCTCACACCTGGCCTTTGCAATCCCTCAAGCGTATCTTTTTAAACCCTACGCCTGCATCCCAAGCCCACAGTCCCGAAGTAAGCCCTGAATAGACACCCTCAACCCCCCAAAACACTCCCCCCAACCCCTGAACCCTAAAACCCCAAAACAGATCTTGCAAGGAAGGCTATGTATCTCGATGGCATCGGCCCAGAGGAGACGGATCAGGACTGCTATGGCTTCTTAGTAGCTGAGTACACTTTACACTTTTCTTTGTGATGATGCAGGGTTTAGGATTTAGGGATAATGAGTGCAGCCTGGAACGAGTCAGCTGTCCTGGCGCGACGTTGCAAGCCAGTTGCAAAAGAGATAATGCTATTCCTAAAGAGCTGAGTCTACACTTTTGGGCAGATGAACTCGGCAGCTAAGGCTTTGTGACGGTGCAGATGACCTTCAATGGTACCACGGCCCAAGAGGGCGGGGGTTCGCGCTGTGGGAAATACGAAGCCTTAAGCTTGAACTCTAACTGCACCGGGGCTTTGGGTTAACACTAAACCCGAAACCCTAATCCTAAAACTTTAACCCCTTAAGGGTAGACTGGGCCTGTGTGCACTGGTTTTCGGGTTTCGGGCTAATGCTTCAGGGTGTTGGGGTTCGTCTAGAAGATCGTAGCCGTTCTGTGTTCGGGGCTAGTTATCGGGCATGAGGCCGGAATATGTTCGGCAACCTCAGCTACGAATACGAGACTTGGCTGCAGTGGAAATGGCCCCCTAAACCTGTTGATAAACTCCGCGAAGCTAGCCGTGGCGCTCCCTTGAGGCTTCTATGAAAGGTTCCCCTAACAGGAGCCCTTAAAGAGACCCTTAAGGGAGCCCTTAAAGAGACCCTTAAAGGAAGCCTCAAAGAGACCCTTAAAGGACCCTCAAAGAAAGCCTTTGGTGATCTTTTCAAATTTCCTTTAAGGGAGGGGGAGCTCCCAGCTTGGTCACTGACACTTTATGCGTGGAAGCTGCCTTATACCCATAGCACCCACTACTCCTTAATTGAGATTTATGTACATATAGGAAAAGATAGACCGACCAATAGATAGATAGGTATGCATATATATATATATATATATATACACATATGTGCAGCTACCTTGAATAATAATCTTAAGTCCAATATATTTTGAAGTCTACTTCTTAATTAGAGGGTACTGGGCTTTCTGGGTAGCTCCGTACCCAGCCGTACTGGTACCCTGAGGCCCCTCCTCGTTTCCGCCCAAATCTCGGATGAAGCGCTCCAGACACCACCGAATCGAGCTGTCGGCTTTCGGTTTACACAGGGCCAAGACTCTTTTTGTATGGTTCCGTTCCATCGAAGACTGAGCATGTTTCGCCAAGACCATGGCAACAAGGGAAAGCCACACCCCCGAAATCTCTCTCCCTGGAACCCTTCCTGCACCGAAACCGAACATGTTTTTGCTGACTACACACGCCGCTGCCGCTACCAGTCCGACCCATTGCAAGCAGATAGTATACGACACTACCACCAGCGCAGCCGCCACTGTCAATGCCTCCTCCGTCACCACTACCATGACCCAACGAACGGCGATCGCGATCATTTCCTCACCACCACGGAAAACCTCTGGGAACTAATGGAGCAATCTCCTGCTGTTCTGAAATTACGCCCAAGTCCAGAGAGAGGTGAGAGCTAGTCATCGTAGTACTTAGAGGTCTCTTGCTGTGGCAAAGTTTCCATCGAAAACCCCAAAAGCGCCGAAACCGTGGCGAAGCGCCGACCGGTTCAGCAGCTGCACGCCTCTTCAGGTGAAGATGCCGCAGGTCTTCTACGCTAGCCCCTTCCCTGCTGGTGGATTTAGTCCCGTGGTTTGCATTGAGCGTGAGATCTGTTCCATAAGACGTTTCCTAATTAAAGGGGTCTTTGAGCCTGGCCCCTGGAGTTGTCCGACGTTTCGGGATGTTAGGCTTAGTGTAGGGTCCTATAGCGAGGGCACGCGCTGTTCAAGATATGGATGTCCAGCCCAACATGCAAAGATTAAAGAGTCAAGTTCCATTCATTTTCTCTCTTCTTGTTCGGGACGTTTGACCCAAGTATGTGCCTGCATCACTAGGTGCACATGGATTATTTCTACCCTGAACCGCCAAATTCCATGTCGCTAAAGGCTTCAGGGTTTAGGGTCGGGGTTGTGTTTCCGGAAATGTTATAGTTGGAGGTTCATGGGTAGTTATAAGTGGGGTTATAAGCCCCATAGTATGGGTTATAACTATAGTTACCCTACTTATAACCCCACTTATAACTACCCCTAGACCCTAAACCCTATATAAACCCTATAGAACCCTCTAAAGGAACCCTACTTATAACCCCACTTATAACTACCCATGAACCTGCAAGTAGGGTTGACCCTAACCCCGATTTCTAAGCGTCTCTTGGCGCGCAGACAACGAAGTGACCATCGCGCTGTTCGGAGAGAACTTCCAGGAGCGGATCTCCCGCTTAAAGCGTTGCCGAAGCTGCTAAAGACTAATCAGATCAGGTATAATGTAGGGGCCTACTGTACATAGTTACCAATAGAAGTTTGGGGAGTAGTAGTAGTAGTAGTAGTAGTAGTAGTGGTCGTAGTAGTAGTAGCGAGGGTTTGGGGTTAAGAAAAGGCATTTAGGGTTGAGGGTGTTCAGGGTGTTGTGAGTTTTTGGGTCCTAGAGCTGAGGCTGCGGAGGACACCAGCCGTTTGGGGTTTCCATACATGGGGAATTCTCCGAATTAGGGGCCCTGTTTAGGTAGTACGGCACCCTCCCAAAAAGGACCCTGCAGGACTACCCATATCCTTTTGAAGGGCTTCGAGTTTGGGGTTTGGGTGCCATCAATCTTCCAGCTCCAAGTTCTGCTGTAGTCTTAGGACGTGGTTGCAGTTCGAAGGCTACAGCTTCTGCAGCTGCAGTCATCCTGATCCCTCGAAGTTGTTAAAACCCTAAACCCTAAACCCCTAAACCCTAAAGCCTAAACCCCTTGAAGTCTGAACCTGAGCACACAGAGCCCTACACCTTTAGTGTAAATAAGCCGTTTATGTTGAAGTAAGAATCTGTACATCTAAATATATTAAACTGTTATAACTCATTTAAACATGTACACATGCACAGATACATGATCTATATATATATATATATACATACTCTTTATGTTTGTGTATATGGAATCTGGTAGGAGCCCATGTGGTGCCGTTGGTGGAACCTGGTGGCTCGACGGCATGAGTCGGGACTGGGGGGCAGGTAGAGAGACAGACATCATACGGTTGATGATATAAACCCCGCATTACCCATATTGTTTATGTGTTTTTAGTACATATGTATATGTATGTATCTGTATATGTGTACGTTTACACACAGACATGTGTGTGCAAAAACTGCAGAGAGGTAAGTAAACAGATTGATTACTGGCTGCTTCATTGATACGCAGCTGGACAGCCAGATGGCTAGCTAGCTACTTAAGAAGGCAGGCAGAGCGGAAGGGAGATTGTGAGTAAATCAAGGAGAGAGCGAGAGCGAGAGAGAGAGAGAGAGAGAGATGGGTAGATAGGTAGACGGAAAGGTAGACGGACAGATAGACAGATCGACAGATGGATGGAGCCGGATCGATGGATATGCAGACAGACAGGCATACAGATAGATAGACGGCTGGCTAGTCAGAGAGAGAGGTAGATAGATAGACGGATAGGTAGACGGACAGGTAGATAGATCGACAGATGGAAGGATAGCTGGATCTATGGATAGGCAGACAGACAGGCATACAGACATACCGATAGATAGATGCCTGGATAGATAGCGAGATATTAGCAGATGCACCTTCGCCCTTCCACAGATGTTTTTTCTTGGCAATCATGCGTACATTCATCATGAATACCTATACGTTGCGTGTGCATGCAAGATGGTCGACTTAATGGGGTGGTCTGGGATTTAGGGTGTGAGGTTGTGTGTGCACAAACGTTTTGCAAACATCTGTTCGTTGAACCTGCACATCTAACATTATCTAACTGCGTGCTCTCTCCCGCTATAGAAGTTGACGAACTTTCCACCCGATGTTCACAGGGTTTCATAACACACGCGAGCTGTTTGGACCTCCGTGGATCCTTACACCGGAGCCTGCTACTCTAAGAAGCGCACGTTGCCAGTTCGCAATCCTTTTTCCTATACAGCGATGGCTAACACCAGCGCGCAAAAGGGGAGAGAAGAGAGAGAGTGACACAGACAGAGACTTCGGCGTCGCATACCCCAGCACCGCAACGCTGCATCCTACACCCTACACCCTAAGCTCAGGAAGAAAGCGTAGCCACGGATGTTACGCCGGCCTTCATGCGATGCCGGGCACCCTCGCTGCCGCCAGAGCTGCAGCCGGAAGCCTGACATCTCAAGGGGCGAGTGTTCTTGGTTCTTTGTAGCATGTCGGATTTTAAGTGGGTGTACACTGTATACAGAAACGTACATACACACACACACATACATACATACATACATACATACATACATACATACATACATACATACAGTATATTTGTATATACATGTGCAGAGAGAGAGCGAGAGGGGGAGTCATTGTCCATCACGGTACGTATCGTTTTGGCTGCCATCGGGGCAGTGGTTAGGGTTTTGGATTTGCGGTTGGGGCTGTTGCTGTTGGTTGGTGCTGTTTCTATAGGTGTCGCTTTAGCTACCGTTATGTTTTTTTTTGTGTTCTTGTTTGTCGTAGTGTTGGGACGAGGCTGCTGCTGCTTCCTCCGTGTTTATGGTGCCACCGCTGCAACTGCCGCCGTTGCCGTTTGCTTTGTTGTGGCTCTTGACGCTCGTGTTTTTGCTGGTTGTTGGAGTCGGTGTCGGTGGTGGTGTTGGTGTTGGTGTTGGTGTTGGTGTTGGTGTTGGTGTTGGTGTTGGTGTTGGTGTTGGTGTTATTGTTGTTGGTGGTGGTGGTGGTGGCGGTGGTGGTCTCGTTATTGTTCTTCTTGTTGTGCTTGTCGAGACGTTGTGGATCGTAAAAATCCCATACTATCGTATTTTGGTTTAGTTTGGCGAGGTGGATGACGAGGCGGCTGGGCGAACATGATCATGCTTACGATGCAACTGTGGAGGGTGTGATGTTGCCATCCTTCCATTGGACGTGTTGAGCTGTTGAATTGTTCTCTCGGGCAACAGTTGAAGCAGTCGTATCTCCGATGCCGCCTGCATTCCTTCAGGACAACACCACCGCCCACAGCGTCCTCAGCTACTTCGAGGTCTCGCCGAACGGCCAAGATTGGACCCGCTTCAAGCGTGCATGGCTGTGGTACAGGCACCGGACAGATGGCCTTGTCGATGCATCCTCCACAAGCACGATGTTGTGCAAGCATGCCGCTGGAAAAGATTACTGCATGATCATATAAGGCGAGAGAGCAGCTGTGTCACCTACCCGATTACCCATAGGCCCTAAATTGTAGTTCCTTTATGGGGTTCATATATAATCCTATAAGGTAACCCCAACAAGGAACTACTATGGGGCCTATGGGTAGAGCATATTTCATCACGGTTGTTTGACAGCGCCTTCATCAGCATTGGGCCATGCCCTGGCTGAGCCAGGAGCAAAAGCTTGTCCTTAACAATGTCCATCGGCCGGCAAAGGTACTCACGGTGTAGGGTTCTCAGGGTTTAGGGTTTAGGGCATAAGATACTTATATGACCACTTTCATGAAAGTCGACAACAACCTGTAGTTGCTTCATACCCCGGAAAGCTCATCAGATGATATCACTTGTCACATGCAGGCAGCACCATTAATCATGCAGTACAGACCTGGACGAATGTCCTAAACTCAACTAAACCCCAAAACCGTAAACGCTTTCCCGACAGGGAGCCTCAAGTGCTGACCATCGAGCCCAACACGACGTTCCGCACTTTCGCGCCGGAAGGTGACTTCATCATCACAGGCGGGCAACCTAAAGACCACCGAGTCGCCTTTTGCTTTTTCTAATGCTAGTATAACGGGCCCCCAAACCCTATTCTAATTATGAAGGCCCCTACATTCCTTAAGGTCTCAGAGATTGTAGGCCTAGATGTACTGTTTTGGTACTTATGGATGGACCCTTTTCGGAACCGAGAAGCCCTAAACCCAAAAACCCGAGCCCTAAACTCATAAAGCCTAGCCTAAATACCCTGAACCCTCAAAGCCGTAAAGCCCTAAACCCCCCCCATGAATTCCTAAACCCTATAAAACCTACGAAGCCCGAAACAGCCTTGAAGACCCTAAACCCTAAACCCTACAATGCCCAAGAGGCCCTGAAGTAGTTCCTTATTGTGGCTTATATTTAGGATCTTATTAGGGATAGGGAACCCTAAACCCTAAACCCTAAACCCTAAGTCGAAAAAGGAACCATTAGGGGATGGGAACCCTAAACCCTACACCCTAATCCCACTTATTGCCATGCCTGCATTCTGCGAGTGTGTGAGTCGAAACCCTAAACCCCAAAAGGAACTACTATGGGACCTCCGGGTAAACAGCCCTCTGAAGGCCGCTACTTCCGCTTGCTCCAGGAAGAGCTGGTTCAGTGCGTAGCTGGCTGCAAGGGGCCGATGAGAGTTTAGAAGGGTTTAGGGTTTTTTTAGGGTATTATAGGTTGTAGGTATATTTAGGGTTATTTCGGGTTATTTAGGGTTCAGGGTTATTCAGGGTCTTTAGATTATTTAGGGTTTAGGGTTATTTAGGGTTATTTAGGGTTTAAGGTTTTAGGGTTTAGGGCCCAGGGCTCCAGTTACTTAAACATCAGGCTACTAACCATATAAGACGTGACCCCACAACCCATCTAGTTTCCACAGTCGTACCCTTTTGCCCTTTATCTTTTTAGGTTCCCTTAATTAAACCAAACAGAAGGAAAAAAGGGTACCCTTATCATTTAGGGGCTACTGGGGAACCTAGCCATTATATTAATTGGGTTTTTTGTTGTCCCGGAAGCAGCGAGGGGTGGGGTTTAGGGCTCAGGGTCTTTAGGCGGACTGCTTCAGTATAGGGCAGCCGTACAAGGTTGAGGGGTCTAGGGTTTAGAATTGTGGGTTTAGGGTCTATAGGCGAACTTTCACTCACCATCCGCCGGGCATGGAGAGGTACCATGGCCACATGAACATCCTGGCGTACCTTCCTCTCTCTATCTCTCCATCTCTCTCTCTCGCTCTCCTCAACATGCATGGTGACGTCATATGTATATATATATGTATATATATATATATGTGATCAGTTATATCTATGCAAGCGAAGGAGAGTCTGGAGAAGATCGCAAACTACTTGCAAGGCTTTTATGGTGGGTGAGGCTGAATATGGTATGGTTGAAGACAAAACAAGCAGTTTTGGGTTTAGGGTTTAGGGTCAAGCACCCACTGTGAGGATGGATGTGCTCTCCGTGCAACCTCGTTACACCACAACATACCGCAGCATACCACTACACTAAACCTGAAACTCGAACTCCGCGAAACAAAGGGCTTGGCTTTTTACTAGGCCTGAAAAGCTCTAAACACTGAACTCCTCAACCGAAAGCCTTGAACCCAACTAAAGCCGAACCCCTCCCCCTCCCTTAAAGGTGCCTTTTCAAAGGTATCCTTAAAGGGGACCCTACTACAGGACTTTATGGTCCCCTGACAAGAACCTTTTTGAAACCCCTTTAAAGGAACCTTCGAATTCGATGGCCCACAGGGTTGATGGTTTAGGGTTTTCATAACATTACCTACTTGTAGGTTCAAGGGTAGTTACAAGTGGGTTTATAAGTTTAGAACCCATATTAGGGGACCTATAATCCCACTTATAACTACCCCTAGACCCTAAACCCTAAACCCTATATAAACCCTATAGGACCCTTTAAAGGAACCCTACTTATATCCCCACTTATCACTACCCATGAACCTCCAAGTAGGACACTTTGGGTGGTGGAGATCTTAGGTCTGGCTCTACGACAAATACCAGCCGGCCGAGCGCACGCCCGCGGTACTCCTGGCGCCCGATGCGCTGGGCTAAGTTCGGGTTCTTGTATATAAATTTTGTGTAGGTATTAAAGTCTCCAAAAGGGGGTTGCCACAAGGGTTCCGATAAGGCTTTAAGGGTTCTTTTTTCGGTAAGGGTTATTTACTGTAGATAAGGATTCTTCTAAGGGTTCCAAAAATGCGTTTGGGGAGTCCCTCCTTTCAGGGTTCGCTGAGGACTCCAAGACAGATTTTTGGTTCGGGCTCGTATATCTACAATGAGGGTACTTTAGGGGATGTGGGGGTTTAAGGTTTTGGGATTTAGGGTTTGAGAGGAGTCGTGCGATGACCGTGGTCATTGCACTTTTCGCCTCGTCTCTAATTGCGCAGGACCACCGGACCTTGACGCAGTGAGTGACAGAGTGAGTTTGAGAGGAGGGCTTGGGGCTTTGGGATAAGAATCCGGAAGCTCACAAACATCACACTGTTGATTGTGTTCCTTTCTCAGTACACCGTCAACCGTCAATCCGAAGATCTTCGTCGACAAGTACTTGCTGGTTTTGGAGCTAGGATCCCTACGACGAGCGAATATACGAACCTCATGGACGTTTATTGAGGGTGTCCTTGTAAACCCTGAGCCTTACAAATCCCCTTTTCTCCTGAAAGCAAAGCAGGTTTGAGCCCTTCTATATAAGCTTGAGGGCCATCACTCCCCCAATCTCCGCGAACCCTAAACCCTATAACCATTATAGCCATCCGTCCCAAATCCCCGAAACTGTCAGCAAATTGACCCTGTCATCCCAAGGCCTGCAAACCCTAAACCTCTGCAAATCCCAGAGGCAGAGAAGAAGGAAGCACCTCCAAACCATCAGCATCCATGGCACCCCTGAGCTAGATCGGCCCTACAAAAAGCCGAATCTCTTTTGCAGGAAATTTCTTGGAGCATCACCGTGGGCCCCAAAAAAGTGAAGAGGATCTAGCTAGCAACATAAGCCCGGTCTATCCCAGACCCTGGTCAAGCCCTCTCAGCCCTAAACCTCTGCTGTTGGCCAAAACCCTAAAAGCCCTAAACCCCTAAACCCCTACACCCTAAAAGCCTTAAACCCCTACACCCTAAAACCCTTAACCCTGAACCCTTAAACCCATAAACCCCTAAACTCTAAACCGTAAAAGCCCTAAACCCCTAAAGCCCTAAACCCCTAAAAACCCCAAAAACCCCAAACCCTAAACCCTAAAAGATGCTTCCGCTCCGATGTGAGGTCCTCCGCTGTCGGCCCAGTCAACCGGCAGCTGCCTCTGGCCCCTTTGGTTGAAATTGGGTGGGTTTACAGTTTTAGGGTTCAGGGTTTAGGGTTTAGGGTTTAGGGTTTACAGTTTTAGGGTTTACAATTTTAGGGTTAAGGGTTTAGGGTTTAGGGCGCGCTCTTGCCTTAAGACGGGGTGAGGGTTGCATGGGCGCTGGCCGGCACCTCAGTCCGTGCTGAAATAGGGTTTAGGGTTTACAGTTTGAGGGTTTAGGGTTTTTAGGGCGTAGGGTTTGGGTTTTGGCCTTGCTCATTCTGAAGCAAGGGGGTGTTTCGGTAGCAAGCGCGTTGCGTGTTTTTCTGTTCGGGGTTTGGGGGCTTTGCGGTTTTGATTTGAATGTAAGCTGGGTACTTGTGCTGGGTTTATGCGAAGACAAACCTCTCGGAAGTGGGAGTGTAGTTGTTTGAGTCTCTATGGCAACAAAAGAGCATAAATTCTTAACCTTTAATGTTAGATTTGGGAAGCCTCTTGAAGCGAGAGCGAGAGTTTTGCGGTCTTCATCTGAAGTGAACGGCCAAGGCGTAGACACGGAGTATCTGCAGCCTTTGGGCGTGACTCTTTGCAGCAAACCGACTAGGGCTTGATCCGGTTATATGGGGGTTTCCGAAAATAGGGGGTACCTTATTTTGGGGTCCTTATAATAGGGATCCTATTATTTGGTGTACTATAGTAGGGTCCCCTATTTTTGGGAACCCCCATATGGATACCTTCAAGGTAGTCCCCCCATGTCAGAGTCTGGATTAAGCGTGCTCTCGACATGTGGCTACCCGGCTACCCTATCAAACTTATGAGCCTATATAGCCAACTTGCTCAGTCCCCAGAAGCAGGCAAAATATGACAACGAGCATTTGTTCCCTAAACCCTAAACCCTAAACCCATAGCAGGTTCGTTGGGGTTCTTGGTTATACTCACATAGGGAGGGGGGGGCGCCATCCCTTTCAGCATCCTCCTGCTTCGTAATCATCGTATAGTACACCGTATTACGCTGGAGCTTGCTGATCTACCGGAATCTACCGAATCCGAGACTTCATATTCGGACGTTCGGTGTTGAGGGTTCAGCAGTTTCATTGAGGGTTTGGGGCGAATATGTCCCTAAACGCTAAACCCTAAACCGTGTTCATAGAAGCCCTTGAGCCGCAGACCCGATATGGTAAGGCATCTCCTCCTCAGCTACACGTGTCCCGTTTTTTTTCCCGCGGACACTCATTTCTGATCCCGATCCCTTATGACCCTATAACTATACCCTAACCCTCCCGGTACCTACTATATAGGGTACTAGAGCCCCTGGGGCCCTATATAGTAGGTACCTGGAGGGTTCGGTATAGTTCGGACAGCCTACAGCTAAACCCCCTGAAACCCTGAACCCCTAGCCCGCCGTACAGGGCCCTTCTCTTGGATCCGAAGACATCCCTTCAGTGCGAAAAGCCCGAAGCGTTAAAGTCTCCAAAGGTTTAGGGTTTAGGTTTTAGGGTTTAGGGTTTAGGGTTTTAGGGTTTAGGTTTTAGGGTTTAGGGGTTTAGGGGTTTAGGGTTTAGGGGTTTAGGGACTTCTAAACCCTAAAGCCTGAAGTTTGGGGAACTGCCGCAGCCAACAGTGGCATTCGACCTAACTGTACCTAACTAAGCCAGGCAGGTGGAAAAGAGGCGACGAAAAAAGCAAGTTCAGGGTTTAGAGTTTCATTAGCTTTGGGGTTGAGACGGAGAGGCCCGGGTTTAGGGTTTTGAGAGCAGGCTGTATAAGCCCTAAACCCACAATTGTGGTTTAGTGTTTGTAGGGCTTTGGGACATCATCCGCCCAGAACTCTAAACCCTAAACGCTAAACCCGAAACCACAAACCCTAAACACGATACCCTAAACCCTAAAATGCCCTAAAGTGCTGATAACTTCGGGCTTGGTTCGGTGCTTGAGCATCTGTATCTAGGACGTTTTCATGTAGGTAGTTACCGTTATAGGAGCCTTCTAGATGGTCTACCTATCTATCTATCTATCTATCTATCTATCTATCTATCTATCTATATATATCTTATGGAAGCCTTATCGGAGCCCTCTCTACCCTAAACTCCCCACCTGTACTTTCCTTTAACCGTAGGCGTGACGGACTTGTGAGGATCCCTGCCTGCTCTGCGCGCGAGAGGGTGAGAGTCGAAACCCGAGAAGCCACCCAAGACTTCCCAAAGGGTCCAAGTTTAGGGTTTAGGGTTTAGGGTTTAGTGTTTAGGGTTTAGGGCAGCTACTTTGTAGGTATTTGGGCCCCAAAAGTATATACCATACTATAACTTGGACCCTTTGGGCTTCCCTGACGAAGCGCTTCCGTGAGGAGCCTGGAGATCTCCATGTCCACACAGGCGGGAGTGAGGCTGTCAGTTAGAGGCCTTAATCATTAGAAGAGGGCTTTGGGGGTATACTATACTATGATTATAATAAGGAACCCCCAAAACCCTATCCTACAAGTAATTATTAAGGCCCCTACATTAGAGTTAGAGGGTGCTTTGCGGTCAAGGGCCCTTAAATTTATTGAACCGGGTTACAGTTTAGTGACTAGTGGCATACGTAGTGTTATCCGAATTAAATGCTACCTCTGGCCTTACCTACTAGCTCCAACGAGCCTTTAAGTACTCGCTGCACCTACAGGGGCTGAAAATGCCGTGCAGTGCCTACTGCATGATGTCCCTGGGTTGCTCCTAGCCCTAAAAACCCAATGAGACTCCGATACCCCAATTAAGCCCGTTGACGAGCCCCTGAAATCTCTAAACCCTAAACCCTAAACCCCCTTGATCTGTTGGATGAAGGCTAAGGGAGGCACATTGCGCCCGAGTTCCCTACGGCTCACCACTTGTGATGCTAGCTATATGATTAGGGTTTAGGGTTTAGAAAATAGGGGGGTACCTTATTTTGGGGTCCTTATAATAAGGATCCTACTATTTAGGGTGCTATATTAGGGTCCCCTATTTTCGGAAACCCCTATATCGAAGCTACTCCTAAGTTAACAAGGTTTGACCCAGCAGCCTGCACTAGCGTTCCTTCGGGTCCATTTCTAATGTACTTGTCGCAGACTATGTTCAAACCCTATACTGCTCTCAGTATTGAGGCACCTTTAATTCAGGCACCTTTTTTTTGCTATGTTCAAACCCTATACGGCTCTCAATAGTGAGGCACCTTTAATTGAGGCACGTTTATTCTGTGTCTTTGAATGGCGCCGAGCATCTCCAGATGCCGAAGCCGCTCCCACCAAGCTGCTTTGTAAAACCCTGACCCGGAATCCCAAAGGGCCAAACCTTGAATCCGAACCGTATGCGGGGTCGTCCTTGCTAAGTAGGAAGGAAAAAATCCGGAGCCGTTCGGAGGTGGATTCAGCTTCGGGCATGGAGGTTCTGGCAGAGGATCGCATGGAACTCATCGGATCGAGCCGCCCGGAGAAGTTAGGGTTTCGTCCTCAGCGTAGCGTCACCGAGGACCAAGCTTCTCCTAAGCACGCATACAAATTCGAGTCCTGGTAGGGTTTGTCATTGGGGTTTAGGAGTTTAGGGTTAATTGCGTGGCTGCTTGCAAGAGTCCTGGATGCAAAAAGGGTTAATTGCGTGTTCAGCCCCAATGAGGGCACCCTTTGATGCAAGACTGTGCATTACCCTATAAGCCCTAACCATAAGGGCTCCCTTCAAGTGGTGGTTCAGTTTGGAGCAAGAGCCTTAAAGGCATAACTCTCAAACCCTACACCCTTTACAGGAACCCCCCAAAAGTATAACTTCAAACCCCCCGCCCCATGTTGGATAAGCTCTTCCACCCTAAACCCTTATCAAACCCAAAACCCTAAACCCCAAAAGCCCACAGCTCTCCGAGAGCGAGGTGAAGGCCTGTATCCTGGCCCCGCCGTTTTCCCGACCTCGTGCTTGGCCACATGGAAGCAGAGCTTTTCGGGTTTGGAGCTTAGGGTTTAGGGCTTAGGGGGTTTAAGGTGGGAACTTGGCGGGGCGAGCTTCAATCAAGCCTGTGTAAAAAAGCGGTTTAGGGTTTGTTGTTTCTGGATGGCAGCAGCCCCGCCTCTCGGCGTTTCGGCATGCGCTTGGTGGAGCCAGAAGGGCGGTAGAAGCCCTGTGTTTAGGGTTTAGGGTGAGGTCATCAGAGGTTGTGGTGCTAAGTTGCTATCGTCCAAGGGCGCGCAGTGTAGGCGTAGGTGTAGAACAAGTCTGCAATGAGGTCCCTTGTTTCGAGGGCTCATTTTGGTAAGCTTCCGGTGCAGGTGACGGGTGGCTGCACACTGACGCTGCGCGGAGAGCGTTTGTGGGCCGAAGCCACTCGGTAAGAGCGAGATGTCGGCTCAAGCAGTCGTCTTTCTGCTTGTAGGAACCTTCAACTTCTAAACCCTTACCCCATTTTTTGAACCCAGACTCTGCAAATCAGCTGGGAAGCAGCACTTCCAGACCGTTGCCTATAAAACCCTTCAAGTCGGAACCTTACACCTCTACGCCGTGGTTCAGGGGTTGGGAGGTTGGGGGTTAAGAGCATGAGTTGGCTTACTGTCTCCCATGAAGTGTTAAACAGAAGCTACCAGACCACGGCCCTGAAACTTTAGGGTTTAGGGTTTAGGGTTTAGGACCTGAAACTTTAGATGCAGCTCATCATCATCATCATCATTCCAGCGAGGAGGAGCCGCAAGGCGCGTTATGGGTTTGCAGTTCGAGCCCTATGGTCGCGAAGCACGTGTAAGATTGAAGCTCAACAGAAGAGTTGAACTACCCTAAACCCACGTCCCTAAACCCACAGCCGCAGGGTTCTGCGACTTCAAAAATCTTCAAGTGCTGTTGGTGGAAATTCGAACGTACCAGAAGCCCTACAGCCACAGCCTAGAAAGAACAGCTCCTCCTATGCATCACTGAGTCCCCGAAGACCACTACCCGAAACCCTCACCAGATAGAACCTGCCAAATGAAAAACCTCAAGATTTGAGTTTCCGAATTCGGGGTTCGAGTTTCTTGATGCCAAGGATGCCTAAACACAAACCTTGCCCTGAAGCAAAGACTCCAAAGTCAAAATCAGCACTACTAGGGCTTTAGGGTTCTGGGTTCATTGCCAGACCCTTACAGAAGCCTTATCGAAGCCGTCGTGTATTCAGAAAAAGCCCTAAACCCTGCTGGACAGGAGGCTCTCCCACCCCCCTAAGTTCTGCCGAGGATGAAACCTATGGCTCCGGGAACCGTTCAGACGCCAAGCCACATGGCACTGCCAGAGGTAGGAGGCATTTAGAAGGGTTCTACAATGTATAAGACAAGGCAAGGGATCTAGGTATAGTATAGGGTAAATCTGGGTCTAGTGCGACTTATGGTGTACCGGGCATTTGGAATGGGGATGCAGAGTTTAGGGAGAAGTTGCCAGTTGAGAAAAATGCTCAGCTCAGGGCGGAGGCAGGTACTTTGGTCATGTGGGTAGTTCTCTAAATTAGGGTCCCTTTTTTAGGTTCCCAACATCGTACGGCACTCTTATAAAGGGGACCCCCAAAGTGACCCTAATGTAGAGAACTACCCATGTAGCAATCGACGAGGTTTTGGGAAGGGCTTGGACGTGTGGGACCCAGCATTCAGCTTTTCGGGCTCGCGTCTGGGGCCTACAGGGCATTTGGGGGGCTTTGTAAGGGGGTTACGATATGGGTAGTTCTCTAAAGCAGGGTCCCTTAGGTTCTAAATATAGTACGGCACCGTTATAAAAGGGGCCCCAAAAGGGACCCTAATTCAGAGAACTACTCATATATCGGGTGGGGGCCAGGTCAATAATACTCTGTACCATAATCCCTATTAAGCTTAGAGCTACATGACTCCAACAGCAACCTGACCCTCTTAAGGGACCCCTTGCGGACTTGGCCTGGAACCAGCCCTAACCCCTCTGTCCTAGAAGCAAAACCCTTCAGTACCCAGAGACCGCAATACCCCTTAATTGAGGAATATACCTTAAATCATATGAGGGATCCTACTATAATTTAAGGTATATTCCCTAATTAAGGGATATTGGAGTCTCTGAGTACCCGATATCCCGACATCCGCTGTAGGTTTTAGAGGTGAAGGTCGGGGTTAGTGAGCCGTTCGAGCTCCAGAGCTTATCGCCCCAGATGACCTGCCTTCGTGTAGGGTTTAGATCCTATAGACCGTGAACCCTGAACCCTAAACCCTGAACCCTGAACCCTAAACCCTAAACCCTGAACCCTAAACCCTGAACCCTAAACCCTAAACCCTAAACCCTGAACCCTAAACCCTAAACCTGGTTTAGTTAGTTTTGTGTGGTGTAAAGGTGATTGCAGCTGCAGCAAATTCGTCGAGTTGGGGCGTAGTTAGACACAGAGACCCAGGGTCCGAGTTTTTGAGAGCGTAAGCCCTAAACCCTAGCCCTCTTCTAGGGTTTAGGGTTTAGGGTTTAGGGTTTAGGGTTTAGGGTTTAGGGTGAGGGTTTAGGGTTTAGGGTTTAGGGTACGGTTTTGTGAGGCTTTTTGTGGCCGTCGGCGACCACTTGCTGGAGGCGAGGCGCGGCAAGGACCGCTCCTACTCCCAGCACACTCAGCCAAAGACTCCACGGAAGTTTAAGGTGTCGGGTTTAGGGTTGTTTGGGGTTTGGGGTTTGGTGCAGGTTTCAGGGTTTAGGGTTTTGTGCGGGTTGAAAGGTTGCTTCAAAGACAAGATCTGTAGGAAACTTTTGTGGGCTCCCCCTTAGGCCACCAACAAATCCAATCCCCCAGCCCAAACAGAAAGCGCTAACCTTCTCTATTGAATCAAAAAAGCGCTAGCCTTCTTTGCTGCATTCTTAAATCCAAGTACCTGATGATTGGCTGCCTGCAAAGTTAGGTTCTTGTGAGGATTCAAACTGGGCCACCATCCGCCTGCCGCCGACGCTTCTTGGACGATGGCGGTAAAGCCGCTGTCTTTTTTTGGTGAAGAGGTCTAATTCTGATGTTATACTATAGGGGTCTAAACGGTCTAAATACATTGGATTCCTGATTAGAATTATAGTATAATGGGCCCCAAAACCCTATTCTGATTATTAAGGCTTCGTTGGTGTTTTGGGGCGGAAGGCTTCATGGTCGGGAGATAAGGGGTTGTGGCCGGTTTGGGCTAACCTCTTCTGGTCTGCGGCTCCAGGGTGGCAATGCAGAAGTCAAGGCAATTCGACACAAGGTCTCCAGGAAGTAGTCCCCATACAGGTACTGTAGGGGCTAAGTATATGGGGGTTTCCGAAAATTCGGGTACCTTATTTTGGGGTCCTTATAATAAGGATCCTATTCCTTAGAGTACTATATTAGGGTCCCCTATTTTCGGAAACTCCCATATCCTATTTCTGCACATGGACCCTTAGGGCAAGGTCTCCAGAGAGTCCTCCGAGACGGTGATGTATAGCGCAGTTCAAAAGCCCCTATTCCAACATTGGATAGGCCCTCTTGGAAAAAGACCAAAGCCCTAAACCCCAAACCCCCTAGACCCTAGAACCTAAACCCTAAACCCTAAACCCCAAACCCCAAACCCTACACCCCAAACCCTACTAAACATTACAAACCTTATTCGTAGTCGGACCGAAACACCAAGCTTGAAGGCCCTCGAAGTCACAATCGAACGCCAGATCGCGGGTTCCGGGCTAAGAGGGTAATATAGGGGCCTTTCATGGCTACCTTAAGAACCCGAAAACCTCAGTTTTTGTAGGGTCCCTATAAATCCCATGTTAGGGTTTGTGATAAGAACCTACAAAAATGTGGGTTTTGGGTTCTTAAGGTAGAGGCTAGAGTAGGGTTCGGGGTATATATTCTACGGTACCCAAGGGCTCCTATGTAGTTCCTGTTTGGATAGTATTCCGTGAAAGGAACCCTAAACACTAAAGTTCACTAATACTTAGCATCAGAATAACCCAAAAGCCTCATATAATAGGGTCTTTGGGCCCAAAAGCCTTGAAATATGAGTCCTTTGAGGGTAAGGGTAAAACTCCCTAAACCCTAAACACTAAAGTTCACTAAACCCTAAACCCTAAACCCTAAACCCTAAATAGGCCTCTCCAAAAAGAAAAGTTCACTAAAACTCGGCTTCGGAGCGAACTGTCAGGCCTCACATGGCCGTCGTGCCCCGCACGGAGCCTTTGCGACTGACGCGGAACCTCCAGGCCTTTCCTCCGCCCGTGTTTAAGGATTATAGCATAAGGGCCGCGAATGTGTCCCCAAACCCTAAACCCTAAACCCTGAACCCTAAACCCTGAACCCTGAACCCAACCCTGAACCCTAAACCCTGAACCCTAAACCCTAGCAGCCGGAACCTCAAGGAATGCTATTGTTAACTATTCTATCCCATAAGCCTCGGAGTCGCAAGAAGATAACCTAAACCCGTAACCCTCCTCCTCCTCATCATCATCAGCATCATCATCATCATCACAACCATCACCACCAGCATCATCATCATCATCACCGTCATTTTCATCAGCATCATCAGCAGTCAGATTTGATATCACATGGGTTGAGCAGCCCTCGTGTAGGGAGGATTAGGGCTCCAAGTGCACAGCGTTAATGCCTGTTCATCGTTTCATCGGACCAGGTTTCCAGAGCAACTGCTGTTGTCATGGTTGGCTTTAGGGTTTAGGGTTTTAGGGTTTTAGGGTATTAGGGCTTAGGGTTTTAGGGTTTAGGGTTTAGGGTAACACTAGCACGACCTGCGACTGATCTCTTGGTAGGGATAATGCCAGCTTGCTGCCCTTGCTTCGCTATGATCCGGCCATGACAGCGATCACACCATATCTGCCACACCGTGTCACAGTCTCGAAGCCCAGTATAGATGCAAGTGGTGTCGCTGCGAGGGCGTAAACACGCTTAGACCATGATACCTTGAGAGCTGCTACCAGGCCGGCACAGGTGCTTTTTGTAAGTTTTTGTCTGTCTTGGAATTAAGAGCCTGTGGCTGCAACTTTGCTTCGTGACATAGCTTTCCGACATCATGTTCTGAAGCAGATCCGAGTAGTCCTCTCCTTTTGCATCCCCTGGGTCTTTCGAAATCCGTGGAACAGAATCCCGGATTTCCCGTTGCGTATAGAGGTTCTTCATACCAGTACCCCAAAAAATCTCGCTTCAGCTTCTATCATCGATCATGGGTGCTTGAGCTCCGGTCATCGATCGTCAGCCGGATCCGCAGGATTACACGCCAGCGGTCGTGAACATCGCCTACAATCCGATTCCCATCGGTACATACTACAGGCAAGTCCACCATTGCGGTGCCCTTTCTAGAATTGCTGGAAAGTAACAGGGGCTGCGTTTCAACCATTAGTCTTGGGAATATCGGGCTTGCTCAACTTGGCCTTCTCAGCAAGGCTTCCGCTAAGGGTCCATGTGCCCAAACAGTATATACTTTGCCATTGAAGTAGTCCACTACACAGGTACGTTAGAGGCTCAGTATATCATATTTGGGTACATGGACCCTGAGGGTTAGGGCAGCAAAGAGATGTTTCGGGTCCATACCCTGACTGTGACCTTAAATCCGGGATAGCGAGTGATGTTTCCATGGTGGCACCAGTGGTCGGGAAGAGCTGGTGGTGCAAGCCATTAAGATCAAGAGTGGCTGCGATCATCGCACCGTTATCATCATGGTCATCATCAGCGGAGTATGATGCCTCTACCCTCCCCCTCCCTGCAAGGTTATATCGTTCCATCTGAAGTTGCCATGATCATCTCCGAAGATTCCGCCCCAAACCCCCACTAAACCCCTAAACTCCTTGAACCGCCTGAGCCCAAAAAATCCCCAAACCCAAACCCCAAACCTCGGGGCTCGTCCTTGTTATGTAGGAGGGAGAAAAACCCCCAAAACCTCCCAGACCCTATCTAAACCCTAAACCCTAAAAACCCTAAACCCTAAACCCTAAAAGCTAAACCCAAACTGTGCCAGGGCGGAGCTCCACAACGGCACCTTGCAAGCGTGTCCTCAAGGCCACGCTTGCCCTGGCATCGGAGCCGCTTGGACTGCGGCTTTTGGGGGAGGGGTTCGGGTTTAGGGAGGTTATCGGTGTTCCTTTATTAAGGGTTCCTTTAAGAGATACTATGAGGGCTACGATAAGGGTTTAGGGTTAGGGAGGTTATGGTTTAGGGCTTACGGTTGCAGCCCCTCCTTAAAAAAGAGGGAGGTTAGGGCTTGGGGCAGGGGGTTTTGGTTCAGGGTTAAGACGACTAGAATTTAGTGCATTCGACGTTTCGGGTATTCCTTATTGTTGTTGTTGCTACTGGTGGACCCTTTTGCAGCAGGCTTCTCTCGCCTGCATCTGCCAGATGATGTCATCGATCACTGAGTCCTTCCCGCAGACTCGTTTCCTAAAGCCTACACCAACAATGGCACCCCTCCCTGCAGCTTCAAATCTTAAACATTGGGCAAGGGCCAGAGCGACAGAGAGAGAGAGAGAGAGAGCGAGAGAGAGAAAGACAAGAGCGACGGCATGTTTGTTCCCTGACTGCTTGGCTAAGCCCGGGGAGCACAAGACAGAGCCGTCATACAATTCCAAAAAACCAAGAAGAACTCCATACCCTGAACTCCGGTTTAGCATTTAGGGTTCAGAGTTTAGGGCCGGGCCCCCTAAACCCTAAACTCTATGGTTTAGGGAGGAACCCTTTGATGACCGCAGTAAGCTGAGGCGAACCAATCCGAGCTGGATTATTCGGGCGAGGCGCCGGGAAGTCTTCGAATATGATATAGGGTTTAGGGCTTAGGGTTCATAATATAGGGACCTGAAGAATTACCTAT